CACAGGCATATAATACTGCCGCGAACCTGCTGTTCATGCGATATGTTAAGACCACCTTACTATATTTGAGTTAAAAATGATCAGTAAGCACCAGCAATCTTTAAAAGAGTTTGCTGTATGCTGCTGCCTTGCCGACCTGGAATTTTCACACCCTGCAAGTCTCCATCTTCATAATTGGCTAGAGTTCATCAGAGGATTTTATTTCAACAATTCAGAGTTTCATTCCAATTCAGGAGGCTCACTGCCGCCGTTTCTCTTGAGCGTGGGTTGCTCTCTGCGGAGCAACCCACGCTCGGCTTAGTTAGCTCGTTTTTGGTTCGCAACACAATACGTTTATCTCAGAGGCTGAATTAATCCACACGGGTCAGAAAGACATGGAACTTACTTTCAATGAGTTTCAGCCAATCACTCCTTCCCCCTCACCCAACGAGGCAAATTTAGCCCTCTTAAACTTGGGCAAAGGAAGGCAGCTGTGGGCAATGTAGGTGGGAGTTAGGATCGCTGCCGCACCGCCCTGGATTTGCCAATGCGAGCCTCAGATGGGTAGCCTCGAGAGAAATGGCGGCAGTGAGTCTCCTGCCTTCGCTTTCTACCTCGTTGCAGAGAGGTTGCTTGGCTTAGTTAGTTCATTCTTGGTTCGCGACCACCAGCCCCACCCCTTGTGGGCTTTTATGTGTTAATCGAGGCACGGATGATGGAGAAGAAGGGAAATCAGCTGCTTTCACACAATATATTTATCTCAGAGGCTGAATTAATCACACGGGTCAGAAAGACATGGAACTTTCTTTCAGCGAGTTTCGGCCAATCCCTCCCTCCCCCCCACCCAACGAGACAAATTTAGCCCTCTTAAACTTGTGCGAAGGCAGCTGTGGGCAATGTTCCCTCTAAATAATTGCTCCAGGAAGCCACCACAAGCCCTCAACCTAATCACTTTGCTGCCCTGCTGCGCCTGTTTAGCTGGAGGGGGTTTCAATCGTGATTGTGCGGCCGCTCTGCAGACTGCAGTAGCAAAGCAAAGGTAGTTGGAAATGCTGCACCGTGTTTACTTTCCACGTGCGCGGCCACCTATGTCATCAATGCGTGATGGATGCCAGGCTATGCGGTGATGCCTCCAAGCCAGAAAGCATTGACTGATAGGGCAGCATTCGTCTCCATTTGCGATTAGCTGGAGGAGGTTTTGTTCATGATTCCAGGGCCATTCTGCAGAATACAGAGACTGCAGTCCTTGTCCAGCAAACGATGTATCTACTTGCCAAAATTTACTTGCCAAAAATCGGAACTTTTTTAAAATGACGCGGGACATGGGACAAATTATTGGAAAGTGTGACTGTCCCGCCGAAAGCGGGATGTCTGGTCACCTTAATGTAGCACCTATCTGCAACTTTTTAAAGTAGCTATATCTTTTCAGAGACTTGCATGACAGGCCTCTTCAGCTGCTACAGCAACTTTAAAGAGTTGCAAACCAAAAGTTTCATTTGTGTCCTGGACATTTTTAGAAAACGTTTTAGAAGGAAATTCAAGGTCTTGCACAGCCCTAACACCCAAATAGATGGTTAAATGAACATGTGAACTTGCAGAGAAATACAAACATCATCCTTCTTCAGTATTTCTATTCAAAATAACATTTGGACAGATGAAAGTAACGAGTACAAGAAAAACATTGCTAAGGCAATTAGTAATTGGTGGTCATATTTGAATACATTTATCCTTAATTGTAGCAATTTTCAAAGCTTTTAACTATTGCACTAGTTTTTCAGCCAGAACTATTTCCAAAACTGTAATTATTACTGTTTCAATTAGCTTCTTAGAATATTACAATAGTAAATTTATGTCACTGTTGTATCAATGTGTAAAAATAATGATCAATAAACCAACAGCCGAACTACTTGTGAAAACTGTTGGGTTATCTTCCTATTTTCTTTAAGAAAATTACACCTTTTGATTTGAGTAGTTGGGGTTGCCTCCAAAAATAGGGCAATCTAAGATCAATTCTGCTAACACTAACTTTAGAAAGCTGCAGATTTATATAGTATAATTCACTGGACTATAGTGAATATATTCATGGTCAGTTTTAATTGTATTTTAAAAATACCTTTATAGAAATCCCTTGTAGTTTTCTATTTTTCCTTCCAGTTTGGAATTAGAAGATTAGAGGAGTTTTGGACAGGTTGTTCAGCTACAGAAATGTCTTATGATTAGTTTACTAAGTGGATATTTGAAGTTGCAATAAAGTCAGTCCCAGAGAAGATGTAACCTTTAGAAAGCAAAAGTCAGACTTCCTCCCAGATATAATTTTAAATATAAGATAAGGTTAAAGTGATTTAGACAAGCAAACTAGACAAGGCTCTGGCATGGGATCTACTTTTTACTGATAAAGTTTTAAAATGTTTAGCCTGGAAACGGTCCAATACTGATATGGTCAGAAAATGCTAGCTATGAGAGACAATTCTCAATCTGCTATGATAGTTTTATATTCTGGCAGAGGAACTACTGAAGCAGGAAAGTCAGACCAGAGAGGCTATTCATTTCACCTGCACCCATTGGTACAAAAACACAGTGAACTTCATCTACCTAGTGATACACAATTGGTTCATAAAAGCAGAATTTCTGGACTAATAGCAAATATATACAAGACCTTAAAAAAAACAACCCGTAGGCTCAAAATCAATTAGGCAGTTGGAAGTCATGGATGCATAGGATTTTATTTTCAGAACCATTATTTGTATTAGCCATATTTATGCTGTTTTTAATATATTATCGATCTGTTTGCTCCAGTCTATTCATCTTGTTAATGTTTGCTGTATAATTACAATTTCCTTTCTCTGTATATATTTGTGCTTTTGCGTGCACACATATTCTCTTGTTCCGATTTCAATCTGCTGACTCCATGCCTAAGCAACAGGGTCCACTCATGAGTTCTCAAAGCTTATTTGATTAAAAAGGAATTTAGCTGAAGCATTTTTCATCATATTAAGCACAAAAACAGTACTGTGGTCCCAGTGTTACTTTGATTACAAAGGAGCAGCAACCTTCAAAGAAGGCTCTCCATTAGTAAAAGCATCTGAAGACAGATCTTTCATTAAAAGAGGAGGCAAAGCCAAGTCATTTGGCTGTACTTGTTCGAAACTGCTGGTTATATATAGATAAATAGTCTGAAGGAGAAGACAATACTCCTAAAATCTAGGAATATAAAATTAAGTGTTCTGTTTTTTAATGATAGGTGAATTAAATTCAACTTTTGGAGATGAAAACTGGCGATTAAGATCTAAATTGGCCCATGTTAAATAAAGCCGTAGAATTTCGCCAGCATTTCACGTAAAACAATCACTTCATTGGGTTGGATCCAATCCAGACTTCCTATTTTGTGGGTGATAAAAAAAATTCTTTAGCATGAAAGGAGTCAACTTAGCAAAACTTTTATACAACAAGATGGAAGCTAATGCAGGCAAAAGGGAGAAAGATAATTCACCCCCCCCCCCAAGCTCTTGGCATCACTTCCAATCTTGTTTTTTAGTACTATGATTTCAGTGCTGTAAAGTAAAATCCATCCTGCCCACAGAAGCATCTGTTTCATGGAGATCTATTTCACTTAAGTCTTAGAATAATACAGTTGGAAGGAACCTTGGAGATCTTCTAGTCCCATGATGCCGGAGCCATATTTGCCAGCACAGCAGCCCTCAGCTCTGGTGTACTTCTTTTTGGCCTTCTGGAGGGCCGGGAGAGGCCGTTTTCATCTTCCCCAGGCTTCAGGAAAGCCTCTGGAGCCTGGGGAGGGCAAAAGTCCCCCTGCACATGCACAGGGGATGTCATGCACGCATGCGCAGGGGGGCAGCATGCACGTGTGAAATTTTGGCACACCTTTAGAAAACTTTTAGCCATCACTGTTCTAGTCCAACCCCCTGCTCAAGCAGGGGACCCTATACCATTCTGGACAAAGCCTGTCCAATCTTTTCTTTAAAATCTCCAATGATGGAACACCCACAACTTCTGCAGGTAAGTACTGTAGTTTCACTGATTGCTCTAACTGTCAGGAAATTTCTCTATGTTGGATCTCTCTTTAACGACCTTCCACCAGTTACTTCTTGTCCTGCCCTCAGGTGTTTTGGAGAATAGGTTGACCCCTTCTTCTCTGTGACAGAAATACTGAAAGACTGCCATTATATCACCCCTAGTTCTTCTTTTCGTTAGACCCATGATGGCGAACTTCTGGCACAGAGAGCCATCTCTCCGGGCATTGCCCGTTGCTCTTCTGGTTTCCAGGGCACACATATGCGCCAGCCACCTGGTCTTCATGCATGCATGCATGCCAGAAAGTGGAAGAACAGGTGACCAGTGTGCATGTGCACGCTGGAAACCAGAAGCTCAGCTTCCTGGCATGCACATGTGCACTGGGGAACTGCTGTTCTGGTTTCCAGCGCTCCCGTGCCTGCATGCTGAGGAGCTGAGCTTCTGGTTTCTGATGCTCTTCCTTGCACACGCTCCCATTTCAGCACTTGGTGCCGAAAAGGTTTGCCAACACTGGACTAGACATACCCAGTTTCCTAAATTGTTCATCTTATGACTTAGCTTCCAGACTTTCATCTTTATTGCTCTTCTCTGCACTCTTTCTAGAGTCTCAACATCTGTTTTGTATATTGATGTCCAGAACTGGATGCAGTATTCCATTTAACAATGGATCCAACAGCTTTCCATTTAACACCATTGCAGAATCAGAAACAGCAGAACCTAAAAATACTTGGGAGGAGAGATTCTCCCCTCCCCCAAAATACGTTTTGAACATATCCAAAAGAACAATGTAGAAATGAGTTATAAAACCATGCTGGGGAAACCTGCTTAGGGGAATGCCCAAACTGAATGACTCAGATATACTTTGTAAGAAAGTAATTCATAGTAGAAAATAAGTTATTTGCTAAAAAAGAAGAAGAAGGCTTTTCAATATCATAGCCTGAAGGAATTATTTATAAGACAAGCAAACATTATAACTTCAACCAACATAAAAACAGCGGTCAATTGCAACACATGCTGTGAACCAGGAAACAGTCAGGCTTTTCTGAGTTAAATCTAAAATTTACAAAGAGCCTGCAGAAGTTTCAGAGAACAGTATTGAAGAGTAAATATGCATGAAAGACAAATATGCTACATCCTAGAAATAAACAGTATACCGAAAGGATTATTTTAAGAGCTTATCACCTTAAGGAAAAATTGTGGGTTTTCACTTTTTACATGGCATTGTAAAACAACACCATTCCACACATATCCAACACAATTCCCCATATATTCAATAACATGAACTATTTTTCATTCTGCTAGTTCCTGGCTCTCTTGGTAAATGGCTAGAATGCCACTGTATTCAGCCATGACAAGATAAAATCAACCCTTGCAGGTAAATAGCTTCTTGAGGAGCAATGCAAATATATTATGCAGCATCATGATAACAATGCGAAGTATTTTTACTGAGAAACACCACATATATATTTAATACAGTTATGCATTCACTGTCAGATTTGTTACAACTCCATTGCATACTTCTCTCCCCCCGCCCCCCACCCCCCCTTTGCTACAAATTCATTTCTGGAACTTAACAAAGTTACCTGTTGAGTAACATGGGGTAATTCAACCCTTGTTAGCAGAATATAAGTGATATGCACTGATAAAATGGAGAGATCTCATTGACAGGGGTTTATGTTACTGAAATGTAAAGCAGCTTTTGCCAAGCTTCCAGGTGTGTGTAGAATGCAAGTCCTATCATTCTTAGTCCAGAAGTTGTACATAATAACTGTCCTTGTTAATGTAAAATTGATGTGTTTCCTAAACATGCAACAGGAGGGACGTGGTGGCTCAGTGGCTAAGACACTGAGCTTGTTGATCAGAAAGGTCGGTGGTTCGGCGGTTTGAATCCCTAGCGCCGCCTAACGGAGTGAGCTGCCATTTCTTATCCCAGCTTCTGCCAACCTAGCAGTTCGAAAACATGTAAAAATGCAAGTAGAAAAATAGGGACCACCTTTGGCTCTTTGGCTTTGAAATGGAGATGAGCACGCCCCCCCTAGAGTCAGGAACGACTAGCACATATGTGTGAGGGAAACCTTTACCTTTACCTTAAACATGCAACAGAACTATAGTACAAGATTGGAGGCAGAAACCTGGTGTGTGTTAAGTAGCACCAGTGTAGTCAGGGAAAACACTACCATTACTTGTTGTGACTTTGCCAATTTCATGTATGACTATGAAAGAAATTCAAGTGAGATTATCATTTCAATATATCCTGAAGCCCCAGACTTTCTGTCCTGTATAACTTTTCAAAAAGGAGATGTAGAAAGAATTCATTTCTTCGATTATTTGCAATTCAAGAATGTGAGTTACTTTGATTAAAGAATATTATGAAACACACTCAGTTTTTCTAAAAAAAATAGGCTGATAGAATCATGAAACATATGTTCAATCATTTTCCTAGGGAAGATGAAGCTGAGGCTTTAACCTTCAAGCCTACACTGAATAAAAAAATGGAGATTAGTTTGGTTGCCACTTATTTATCTTGATTATAATTGGGAATGAAGATTCAATAAGGGTTTTTGTCTCCTCCTGATAAAAGTTTCCTCGATAGTTTTGGTCCCTTGTTACATCATGAGATACTATAACAAAGACAGGCAAGATGTTTGGTGTCATTAGGATCAGAGTTAAGGAAATGAATTCTGTGATATGTTTTTGACATGCCTGCATCACACACAATGAAAAGCCTTTATTCCTCATGGAGACTATCAGCCAACTGAAGAAAAAGATGTCCATATGGCCAGCAATAGTAAAGTAGGTTATTCAACACGCCATAAGGCACAAATGTACCTAGATTAAAAAGACAAATATGCCCACCAATTGAGTTTGTCTACTGGTGACAGCATCCATGCAGTATTTTTGTCAGCCTTACAGCTGTAGCTCACCACTGGGAGGTTTTTTCCTATATTTTTTTCCCAACTTCCTAATTTAGCCCCAAACTCTGAAATTTCCAGATGGTCTCTAATTCATATAGGGAGTTTAGATTACATACGCTAATTCATGTAGGCAGCTGAGATAATCTTAGGTTGGCTGTTACTTGATAAATTGGCAGGAACGATGTTGGTGTATTTTTTACTGGAGGAACAGGGGTGTGGCGGGCATTGCTTCACACTTGAGAAGGCAGAGATTAGAAAAGAAATCTACTGAATAGCTACTGCTGTTGCAGGGAGCTCTCCAAGGTATCATAGTATTTATTTTTGATGTGTTCTCTTTTAAAATGATTGCTGGTTGGGACAGGGTATTATTCTCTTGACATGACCAAGCAATTTTAAAAACGATAGCAGGACAACATAACTGCAGATCCTTAAATTATAGCAGGAGCAAATGGATATTTGAAGAAAGTTTACTATATCTAAGAATAGTCTAAACACATTGAACACTTGAAATAAATGTGCAAAATCCACCTGAAACTTTTTGCATAATTTTAGCAGAGTAAAAAAAACATCATTTGAAATATTTTTATGCTATACTGCTATGTTTGTGGTGAATTCCGGAATAAAAATTGAGGAATGAAGAATATCAAATGCAGAGTAATGAGCAGATAGTGAATGTGTGCTGTCAGTTCTCTATGAACAAATGGAATAATTTAACAGAGGTACACAAATATCAGTAAGCGGGCTGCCAAATTTTTAAAAATATTGTATTACTCACAAGGAGCATAGAACATCAGCAGAACAGGTTTATCTTCTTTCTTAAGAAGTCTTTTCAGTTCCTTAAAACCAAAAGAGAAAATAAAAAAGATGAGATTTAAGAATCTTTACTCCACATATTTTAGCTAAAATTACAACAACTATTGAAGCCATTTGATAGTACTGCCAAATAGTTTGTCATCTGGTTGTTATCATTCAATCCTCAATTAAAAAGCTACAAACAAATGGATCATTTGTTATCAACTAGTGCTCAAACACTTCTTACTGAAGCTTCCCACATTTAAAATTCCTACATTTAAAAATGCAACCAAAATGGGCAACCAATTCCAAGATTAGAAACTTTATTATAATCACTGCTGATGTTTGCTTTCAAAATATTGTTAATAAGAGTGTCCTAAGAGCATCCTTGAGGTCTCCATATAATCAGACTAGCTGGATAAATCAACTAAGTTTATTACTTCTTCAATATGATCACAATGTGCTAGTAGTACTTGTACAGATTTTTATATTGGCATTGAAAAGATGTGGATTTGAATTATGCATTACTATCCAATTTAGCAGTCTAGAAATGTAAGGACAGAATGTATTGGCCATATCCAAGCAAGCATATAAGGCTTATGAACATAGTTTACAAAACTCAGTAAACCATTTCTATCTGAGGATTATATTTCAATTGAAATTTATAATTTAATTTCCTAAACTTAAGAGTTTCACTCTCCCAGCTGTACACATCAATAGGATCAGATGTTGATTGCAATGTAGCTCTGCCTCTTATACACATTATGAGACATCTGAACTCATATATACAAGATGTAGACCATATCTCAAGGCAGGGTGATGCTGTATGATCTCACTCATATAGCTGTCTCGGGCTACAGCATCAACGAATTCTAATGTTTTATTGATGGATAAATCCAAAATATATCGAAAAGTTGACTTTGCGCTTGTATTTAAGATACTTAAATGATAAGTTCTCTTTTAGAACTACCTCGTAAAAACACAACAATGAAATTTAAAACCGTGATATATCAAATAACCAACTGTGATGAAATTGAGAGACCGCCTCCTGCCAGTCACCTCCCAAAGACCTATTAGATCCCACAGACTAGGCCTCCTCCAAATTCCATCTGCCGGCCAATGTCGGCTGGCGACTCCTCGGGGGAAGGCCTTCTCTATGGCTGCTCCGGCCCTCTGGAACGATCTCCCCCTCGAGATCTGGACCCTTACTACCCTTCCGGCCTTCCGCAAAGCAACTAAGACCTGGCTATTCCGGGAGGCCTGGGGCTGTTGAACTATCCAGCCCCATTCGAGGTTAAGGCTATTGTAGAATTT